TGCTGATAAAAGTGGGACTAATTTTAATTATTTATACATGTTTCCTATATATTACTTTATATTCTGTTTGGATACTAATATCCTTAATTTCCTTTATTGATTATATTTTGCATTATTAATCCGAATCTGGATACTTAAGGCTTCAAATAAATGCAGTGTAGTAAAGATATATCCCTCTGAATTGTAGTGGAGCGGAAATATAAAGTAGCATAAAGAGGAAATACTTCAACTCTCATTTTTTGTTGATTGTGGCGGCCCCTGTGGACAAAAGCGGTAGTGTTTCTACCTCCTTGTTTCATTGATTTCAAGGGGAATCAAACGGCAGGTTAATAGCTCCCAATACATTCTCCTCCCCTATGGGGCGGGTGGTCTTGATTTTTTGTTGTGTTTTTTATGTAGTCATATGAGTCTATTTCAGTATTCAATGCTTACTGTTTTTCATAAACCAGTTAAATAACCTCCTTGTATGTAACATTTAAATAGCGGTATTTGTATTTGGTTGTATGTTAATTGTACTAAATAGTGTAGAAAAGGTTGTGTGAAGAGGAGTTTGGATTGGGAACTGGAGAGTGCACAGTAATCACTGGTCCTCTTCACCAGCTCACTAGCCGTACTCTACACCTAGCACACACACACAAGCTAAAAAGGAAAAAAAAAGACAGGAAACACAAACATGAAAATGTCCATGTTATAGAGGGTCCTTCTCTCCAGATTACAACACAACTACACACCCACACACAACACACACACACACACACACACTTCCCCTGTCTCCTGTCTTCCCAGCCCCTGTTTCAGCCCAGGTCAAAGGGAGTACATTCCTGGAGAATACATGGAGACAGAAACTGGGGGTCTGAATACCTGACGGGGAGGAAACCGTGTCCCTGAACGTGGCGCTTTGATCTGTTAATATAAGTCACATTGTGGGTGAAGCCATCGAGGGCAACATGTTGTTATGAGTTGTAAATATGAAGCAAGTGTCTGAACTTATCTGAGAGAAATATGAATTATTATTTGGTTCCAGCGTCTCATAGCTGATTATCTGATGCTTTTATCAGTTTGTGTACAACTTAAAGTAACAGTTTGGCTTCTATATCGACATCGTATGCTATTAGTCATTGTTTTGTTTATATATATTTATATATACACTCATGTTTTCCACCTACTACATAATAGTTCTATGTCTATTTTTAAACATATAATAACTTTATTCAGCTTTGTTGTCCTTGTTTCCATCTGTATGTCTATTTATATCTTTCCTGTAAATTGTTCTGTGTGAGCAGCTTACAAAACAAATCTCTTTTGTTTGTGTGTGTTCACAATAAAGCTGATTCTGATCCTTAAATCTCTTTATCGTGAGTAACTTTTTGAGGTTTTGGACCGCTCGTTTAGGCATTTATGAGCATTTTCACACATTGATTAATCAATGAATAGAGAAAACAATTAGCTAGAGTAGTTAAATGTGTGCAAACTAAATAAATGTGATAGCTGTCCCCACTGGTGGGAAGTAACTAAATACATTTACTCAAGTATTTGAGTATTTCCATTTAATGCTACTTTACACATCTACTCCACTACATTTATTTATTATTCTATCAATAACACTTTACTAACAAGCTCCCCAGTACATTAAGTTATTCAAATTAACCCCTCTATTACCAGCTGCAACATTAAAGTGATGCATCAACAATAATAAACCAACATATTATATAGGATATCCTGAAATGTGTATGAGTGAGTGAGTACTTTTACTGTTTTTGATGCTACTTTTGTACTTAAGTACTTTTACGCAGGAGTTTTACTAGAGTATTTCTGCAGTGTGGTATTGCTATGTTAAGGCTTGAGCACTTCTTCCACCTCTGGAGCTGTTTGTGTGCAAACTGTCACACTGTTAGAAGTTGTGCAGACGACCTTTCTTTCTTTCTTTCTTTCCTTTCCTTTCTTTCCTCTTTCTCAGCCTCCTGCAGGTCGCTCTGCCACACAGATCCGCCGAAAAACAGCAGCGGATTTGTGCCATTTTTTGTGGAGGAGGAAAAAAAAAGAAACCACCACCACTAAATAAAACATCCACCAAGTGTTTCCATTACAGCCTTACCTTCTCTTTCCTGATTCTTTGCTTTTCCATCCTGCTCTCTCTCTCTCTCTGCTAAATCCGGCAGCTCCAAACTTTCATCCCCCAGCAGCAGCAGCAGCAGTGAGGCAGGGCAGGAAAACACACCATCCAAAAAAAAACCCAGATCCGATCCCCTCTAACCCAACACCCGCTGTCCCTACTGCGCCTTTACTGATCGATAAGATGGGGAGAGTGGTGTGAAAGGCAGCGACCCTGCTGAAAGTAGTTCCTGGGGAAAGTTAATCCAGAGTGAATGCGCCATGTTTCCCACAGCCGATCTTCTCCCCATAGCGGAATTTCTGTCCGGTGAGAGGCGGGGATCCGGTCGGCTCCATGGCTGCAGCCTTCAGCAAGGTTTCAATTACTTCTCATGACATCAGAGAGGAGTTGAGTTACCTGACAGATATTCATTACAGCACTGCTTCAGTGGGCTGCATGCTAAAAGGGAGGCTGTTTTTATTGTTGGAATAAATTAAAGACAAGTTTATTTGTGTGGGTTTTAAGCTTTTACTGGGTTGCCAAAAAAACAAACAAACAAATAAACAAAACAATAAATAATTAAAACACATGTAACATTTGGGGTCTAAACAGCAGGAAGCAAACATTTTAAATAAAAAGTTCAGCATTTTGGGGGAAACATAATTACATTTTCTCAAGTGGAAAGATTGACTATCCGGATTTGTCTGTGAAATATGAAGCTGTACGGTCAGGAGATCTTAGCTTAGCTTAGCATAAAGACTGTAAACAGGGGGTAACAGTTAGCCTTGCTCTGTCTGAAGGTAACAACAACTACCAGCGACTCCAAAGTTCACAAC